ACACCTGCACACCTAGGACACACCCCCTGTCTCCATTCCCGTCTCCTGCATGACGTTTCCCCCTGTGTTTCCTCACTATTCCAGATTGTGTTGTCTGCATAGGGCCCGGAAAGAACTGTTTGTGACAAAATTCAAGCTTGGATTTCTAGATTGAGGTGAAACAAATGGAGGAGGGATACACACTGGGCATTACATGCATAAATATAACATGGTAAATCAATGGCAACCTTCTCTTAATTTTATTTTTTGCTGTACTTTTCATATCTCCACTTGCATCTACGAGCCCTGCAGCCTCACACAGCTGAAGATTGAAGAAGTTAAACATACTCCTCCCACCCTCACAGGCACCTGTCGTGGAAACTTTTACTGTCAGAATAAAGGAGCCACAGAAAGTATTCTCAATTACTTAGTAATGTCTTTTACAGTATATCATAGTGCAATATGGGAGTAAACACTCACCACCCGCTCTGAGGAAGTGAGAGCAGACTCAACAGAGAAAAGAAAGTTTCATGCTTTACACATCAAGATGATGCAACATCATTTTTCGTCGCATTAATCATGAGACCCAGCCCATTTTCCTTCCCCGTTGAGCAAGCCTGGCATATTTTAGGCAAAATACAATAGCTTACGTGCAGTTCGCTCGCGCAGCAACAGGCGGTTTGGGTTTTCTGCAGTTTCAAGACAAGTCCTTTAACTTGGCTCGCCTGGTGCATCTGTACATTCCGTTCCCGGACCTTTGACTAAGCCTTGTTAATAACATTTTCAGGATTACCCTTTACTTACTTTTCTCTTACATTCCCTCCTTTTTATCCTTAACATGGCAGAGTTCTGAATCACCGTATGGGTCCCCTGGAGGTTCCCATAGTTCCTTTCGAATTCATACTTAAGAGAGTATATTGATGCATGAACATATTCATCACCATGGAGCGAAGCATGGGGATAATGCATGTCATACAGCAACATAATAGCAAAAACACGAGTATTACAGCCACTATAAATGGTGCCAACAACTTAAAGAAAAACATTCCCCATGGTCCAAACAGTGACTCTAACCAGGAGAAGAAAGCGGGTGTATCTTTGATGCCTCTCTCCTTATTCACTCATTCGTTCTTACAGCACAGGTAAATCCCTGTGGGCTGGAGCCCAGCATAATCTTAAGGGGTTTACAAGATAGGTCAACAGCTGGGTATAAATCTTAGAAAAATCTACATATTGTCCCCCTGCCTCAGCTATGCCGTTTTGCAGAACAATTCTAGCTGAAGTTGTAAAATTTCTTTGTTCCATTCCTGCAAAACATCTTATTATGAACAAACAAACCACAATAATTATTTGCATCTAGGGGAATCACTACCAAGGGTAACCCCCCTACAGCAGTTTGTGGCCCCGCTGTGCAAACCCAACACAAACTCTGATTCTTTCTGCTCGCATATTAATGTGACAGAGCTAAAATGTATTTATGCCATTCACTCCCTTATCATGGGTGTGCTCATCAAGTCGCATTTTCAGTGATCTTTTCAGTCTGTACTTAATTCGCTCAGACCCATGGGCTTTGGTGTGTGAAAGGCCTGTTCCAGAGGTTGTGTATCTCTTGGGTTCCTGAGGTTGGGAGAAGAGGTGTTCTCTTCACTGCTCACTGTTCAACTAATATTACCATTTTATCAGCAGTGCCAATTAGCTGCTGCTGCTTGGGGATTACCTGTCACAGTTAGCTAATGACGTAACCCAAGCTCAAACCCACGGGCAATCTCTCTTTATGGGTTGAGCCTCCCAGGAAGCCTTAACCTTTACTCTGTATTAACAATGTGTAGAACATTTCTCCACTTCAACTCCAGTCCTATCCCTAAAAGGCCTCTCTTCATCTACACAAGCACATCACGTTACATGGTTCTTTGTCAATATGCTATCCTGCCTTCTATATACTGTAGGTGGGCAATTCGCACACTGATATCAATAGTAATTACTTTATTCTCAAGTACCTCGAAGCATTGTGCCAGAGACATAACGTTGAGATGAACCACATTTGTTAAGTCTCTAGTAACTCCTTTGTTGTTAATAGACTAAACTTTCCATCAACGCAAAAGTTTTTTGGATAAGGCTATTTATGGTGTAATATGAATAATGGATGTGATAAATGCAAGAAAATGTCATGGCAAATTATCAATGGTTTAAAAAATAAGTAGTGTACTGTACATAGCACAAATAGAACTGTTTCAGGGACCAAAGTAACTACAGTATAACTTCAAGCAGTGTTCAAGGTACTCTGTCAGAGCAATGAAATGTCAACCCCCATTACAATAAGAGTCTCTGTAATGTCAAACTTATTTATTCTGCTTTTAGAAAAGCCCTGTACAGTACATCACAAAGTAAAGTTTGAAAATAAAAAGTAAAAAAAAAGAACTTCTGCTACTGGAAAGCAGTAGCCTTAAATTATAAAAAATAAAGGGGATTTTGTCATGATTTCCTTCAAATTCTGAAATGTAAATGAATTATTATGCGTTTTGCTTCACAAACTGAATTCTTAATTTTAACCCTAATCTAGTGTCTAATGCATTTCTTTCACTGCCTTTAAAGATATAGTTTTGAGCAATTGAGTGGTATCCTCAAATTCTAAGTTTTTTCTTTGAAGAGAGGTAAAGGAATATGACATGACAGTAATATACATTGAGAAAATGTCCGACGTTAAAAAGCCTGTACAATTAAGACAGCCAGGCAATGTTCTGTAATTAAAATACTGTTCAGACAGGCTTTTGAAAGCATTTTTTAAAAAAACTTCATTGTTTACGTAGGATACACAATGTCTAAGTCATTTGAGGCAGTCACTGTTAAAAGGTGAGAGCACTCTTAAATGACTACAAAGCTGGAAACAATATATTACGTGCTTAGTCTCGAAGTAATGAGGATAGTAAGAATGACCTTAGTCTTGTTGAGTAAGTGAACTTTTCAGATAGCACTTTCTCTGCCAATTATAGTCCTTTTCAGACTCCTCCTGATTTCTTTTTTTGTCTCTCAACTGTTTTCAGAACTGCTGACATTAAAGCAGGCCATTAGCATCAAGCAACACGGTCAACTTGACATAAACACTTTTAAAGATTTTAAACCAACTTTGAATTGTTTCATGAGATATCCACAAAAAAATGAAACTGCATGAATCTCTTTAATGAGATTCTTAAAGAGAAACACAGAACTAATTTCAAATGGCAAGTCCCTGATTTGGGTGAAACAGATAAGAGCTCCACATGAACTCAAAATTCCTTTGACTGAAGCAAAACATGTTTGATTATGGTCCAAATGATTTCAATTATGTCCCATCTGCCAATCACAAATTACATGCCCCATTCTTTACGGCTGCCATTTATTTGCCGCAAACACCATGGTAACTTTAACAAAATGGAAAGTTGCATTCCAGTAGTGGGGATGTGACAGTCAGCTGAAGGATGTACAGTATCTAGATTTGAAATCAATCCTGGCTTTTGACACTATTACCTTCAAAGCAGAGAGTGAGAGTAGCTTTGCTTTTAATGACTTAAAGGGACTTTCATAGCCAGAGATTAACAAAAGTATTATGAGGATGATATAAATTTCTACTGTATTTAAATCCATAAAGAAAACAGAATTATATTTTGAAGAGTAGGCCTTCATAGACAGCAGTATTTCTAACTCCAACGTATGTTAGCAAATGTATCTCATAATTTCTGTAATTCTACCTTTCAAAAATATGCTACAGTACTGTACATGTACTATACCACATGGACCTATAGTAAAAAATTCAACAGAATGATCACTGCAAAACAGAATATTTAAATGATACATTGGTACAGAGGTGGATGACAAGAACTTTATGCAGCTCATTAAAGTCATTCAGACTTGTGTTACTGTCTGAGGGTTTACAATACCACACAGCATTGTTATTCCTCTCTCAACAGAAAAGAGTGTTAGGACCTGTAGCTCACGTAAAACTTTTATTAGGTCTTATAGAGGAAATCTCATTTGTTTCTCAGAGCACAAAAAGCAATAAAGCATTAAGGTTTGAGGCCCTCAGATATTCAATCCAATAGGATGAAGTATTTTTAGTGACTGGTTTATTTTTTCTTATCAATCATTCATGACCGCAAACATTTTTTTTGGGAGTCCAATTTTCTTTAATAACCCCAATTTAAAGCAGAAAAATACCTAGGTACCTAATGTTTTGCTGTGATTACAAATACACAGCTTTATTTAAATGTGAATAAGGTTGGAATACTCAATAGGAAAACTCATTAAATTCACTTCATGCAGTTAAAAAGAGTATTCAAGCAAAATGACATACTGTAGCCCAATTTTAATCATAATATGCTATACTGTATGTGATGGGACTTCTGCATCAATACCTAATTGGAATTATTTGTAAAGAGAAGGATGAGCCTATAACATTTTTCTTAATTTTAAGCACTTGTCTAACTAATGAGTAATTTCAATAATGCAGTGTAATATATTTGAGTTTGTATGTTAATGATAACACAATTCAGGTAATTATCTTCTATATGATGCCTTGTCAATTACATCATACCCTGTTTACAATGCCTACTGTAGGTGTTTTTTTTAATTTTGTGGTTCTCTTTACACTGATCGTAACCTATTGCCTGGTGTTAAACATATGACGTTACAGAAACATTATTATATAACTAGAATAAAAATCTAAAACAATGATATAATAATATTGCATTAATTATATGAGGTGACTAAAAAAAAATGACATGCATGTGAAGTTTAATAGAAATAGATTATTGTCATCCCCTTCTGATCTGACATGGCCTTGCAGCTAGCAAAAATGGTTTACCTAGATTGGACAGTCACTTAAATGTATGACAATTTCAATTTAAAAAAATAATGTAACTGTTTTGTGTAATTAATTGGCTAGGATTTAATTTGACCTCTATTACTCTCTGATACCATTTTAGCAATGTTTTTGCTTTGTTTTTGCAAATCTTCTAGATAATACAATTTTAATTGAAAATTCTTACCTTATCTGAACAGTATTTCCTTTTTCATAAGGCACAGCTTTTCATAAAGTCACATTGTGTGCTCCTAGAGAAGACAACAATGTTAATTAAATTACAGTATCTGCTGCACTTCTAAAATTTACTGAATACAATGGCAGTGGCAGAGAAATACTACCAAGTTCTATCTTAACAATCAGTTATTATATGACAACAAAAATCGCACCTTGTTTCTACATATTGTGACTAGAAACCTTTATATTCACAATCACGGTTTTATAATGGCATGAAATTCTAATATATATCACAGGGACAAAACATAACTGACTGGACATGTTTCAGATTGTTTCGCTGTGTTTCCTGAGCTCCAGCTGAAATGCTGCTTTACAGTCATGAACCTTCCTTTATAGGAAAAACTGAAGATGAACAAATTACTGTGTAGCCAAAACAACTTATGGAACAATGTTTTGGTCACAAAAGATTACACTATCCTTATATATGTACTGTAATTCCAATTAGTTAAATGTGTCTGGAAAGGTAACAAAATTTAGAATTTTAACTAGTCAGGAATGCACTTAGATACAGAATTTCTTCAATCATTTCATCCATCCACTTTCTAATTGCTTTATCCAGTACAGTGTGGCAGGGAAACCAAAGCCTATCAAGGCACATGGTGGGATGCACCCTGGACGGGACACCTCTCTGTCACAGGGTATCAATCATATCATGATTCTGTTGTATTAGTTGTTACTTATTACAATATCTTCAGTGCATCTTAGATTTGTTTCGTCTTAGATTTTCATTTGTCATGCTACTATAACTACAGTAAATATTCTAGCAGCGCATGTGTTCTTAAAAGACATCTGAGTCAGGGAAGGTCAACTCTTCTATTGTAAAGTCACACTTCTGAAAAGAATATAGGTTGCAATTATAATCAGTTGTTGAATCTACCAGTATATTCTGTAACTTCAAAGTAATAACAATTCACAGGATCTTGCAGCTTTTTATAATGTGTGTTGAACCCTCCTTGAATTCTTCTTTTTAACGATGGCGTTCCTCTGTGCACTAAAACCTGTTCAACACTGCTGTCCTTCCCCAGCTTATTGCCTACATTTAGTCTCTTGTATCACACTCTGCCCTTATACAGTAACATTTAGGATCTGTCCAGTGCCAGTCTAATCAAAAACAGACTATCCTCTGTATTATAACACAGAGGAGACCACAACTCATCCCTTTGTTCAATTACAAATTCTGTCACAAAGTATTTAATCCGCATTCCTTTTATTGATGAGCAAAGCACATATCCAGCAATAGCTTATGATTCTGCATCACATTCATCAGTTTAACTCCCTACCTTTCTGTTTTTGCAGAAGATACCTGGAAATTATGCTTACATTTTATTTTATTTTTTTTTTATTTAGAGAGTGGTAAATACTATTTTGACTGGTTTAAACTCAGAAGTTCTCAGAGCCAGTAAATGGGTTGCATTTAGTTAAAATCACTAGTCATTGTTTGCTACTTGTAGAACACATACAAATTGCTCTTATTGTTATTTAAAACATACTGATATAAACGGTAAAAGCCAAATTGGCATTGTACAAATTCTATATTGTACAATGTGTAAAAACACTTGGTTTATCCAAGGAGAATTTGCCCTTGACTTGGATCACATAATATCTTTTGGGGGGGCTGTGTATATGCGTTTTCAATGTAGGTGACATACACCTGTGATTTACTGTCAAATGGAGCCGCTTTTCAGTAATCTTATTGAATTCAAACAGGTTTTCTTCTTACAATATGTGCATTACAATGAGTTTAGCCACTCTCAATATAAAACGTGCATGGCACAATATAACACATGAATATACAGTAGTTTACTTTAAAAAAGTAAAATGCAAGCAAAATTTTACAATACTTTCACAAAATTAGTGAAGGTGAAAAAAAACATTAAAATAAATGCATAACTTACTCTATTTAATGTCTCACAAAACCTATACACTATTCTTTCCTCCCATATTTATGATCAAATGTAATGACTGTTTTAATTTGGTCATTCTGTTTGCAGGGTAAATTTGTTTTGCATGTCTTGAGAGTGACTCAGTAAAAGCTAATGTATAACTTTGAAGAACACCACCAGTCTCTTTCTTCAGAACCTGGTCTTATTGATGAATCACATAAAAAAAACTAAAATACTTTTAAGCACAACCCCTATAATAAATAAAAAGAATAACAGATCTAGATAAAAACTGCAATGTAAAAAAAAAACATTTAACATAACATATACTATACACCTCTTTTAAACAAAGCACAAAAGAGGACATTTATTAAAAGCCAACAGGACTATAAAACTTGCATATACTGTATAATTTGTAAGAGCCCTTTAAAAAGTTCAAAATCATCAGGCATGGAGAAGTCAATATGTTGTTGAAAACAGTGATTAATAAGATGCATTATTGTGCTTTGAATTTGTCCCTTAGGAAAAAGCTAAATCAACACTTTTACTTTACGTATAAAGAACTGAGTGTGAAAAAGTGCCAGGAGTAACAGAACCCAGTAAAAATAGAGGACATTGTTATGATGTTGTTGCCCTAGCCTAATGGCTAAGTTTTCAGATCTTTCAGGACATAGTAGAACATCAAACATTCATTTTAGTTCTTATTTCACATTTCTACCTAACTTTGCCAGATCTCAGAAGGTACATCAGACTGGGTAACTGTTTTTTACGGGTCACCATTTATGGAAATTAATGGATATCCGATTGCATATTTAGGATTTTTTCCTTTCTTTGGATACTAATTTGTATTGGGAGTAATAGATGCTTTTGCTGTTTTGGATTAAAATAAATAAGATCTGCCTATATTCTAAGTTCATGTTGACAATCCAAAAGAATCTTAGTGCCATCTAGATGATCCTAATTAGACCGATGCTATACATGGACTAGCAAACATGGAAGGTTTAATGAGAGAGCAGAGGATGATATTTGAGGCTGATACGATTATATTTTTGTCTAATAAAGGAATAAATAATACAGTACCTTTAAAAGAAAAGGAAATATATACCCATTGACCTTGTATAGATTTTTTTTTTATTTAAAGAGTTTTTGCAGTGGATTATTGTCTTCAAAAGGGGTTGTAAGGAATCGGATGCACATTTGAACTTGATTAGAACTTTTGCACTAAGGTACTGGAATTCTTTATATGTCTGTATGAGAGGTTTCCAGTTCTGCTCATAGAGTCCCTATCCAGCAAAGCTTATAAATTACCATTATATAATTAATTTCTAAAGACCTGGAACAATTTAACTGTGATCAGTTAAACAGGTAATCATTTTTAATTAAATGATTCAAGGATCATTTGGGATAAAAGAACACTTCCTTGATTGAACAAGGACTTGGTTAATTGATCAATAATTTGAAACTGTTTCTAATCTTTAAAAAAAGTTATTCTGGTTCACACATGAGAGTTACTGGATTGTGGCTCTCCAGGACCAAGACAAGAGACTCCTATTCTATATACTGTATATATACAGTACAGTGTACACAAACATTTCTAAAAGTAAGGGTAACTAATAAATAGCCTCAACTCAATGTCAAATAGCACAGTATGCAACAGAGCTACAGCAGGAAATTAATTGACTAATTCACCAAAACAAAACCAAATTTAGATAACACTTTCTCATCCAAACAATAATCGATGTGTAAAGTACACTACTTGAATTAGATAAATGAGTGAAGTCATTCAAGTACAAAAATGGATTGTTTTGTGTGGCCTGAAGCTATATATGAAATAGCCCAGCATTACAGTGAAGCATGAAGAGCTTTGTGAAAAAGTAATGCTTCAAGCTTGTGTTTTGCTCTAAGTTGACTCAGTAGACCTAATCTTATTAGTACAAGTATTCCTAGTATACTGGCCTTTGAGGCTTTAATAAATTAAATGTGATAGAGATCATAAGAAAATGTGCTGCACAGACAGACAGGAGGTATAGACTATGAAGATATCGCAGAGAAAAACAAGCCTCTGAAGAAAAACAGTGGTAGGGGATCAGATAGCAAACATTCCTATATCACCTGAAATACAAACAGATACGTACAGTACATTCCAATGGGCCATCAAGATACAGCAGACTTTTGGATCTAAATGTTTCTTTTATTTTTTTCAGCTACAGAAGGATAGGCAAGACTGTTTTTTTTTTCACCCTGAATACTTAAATGATGGCACTGAGCATTTAGTGCTCACATTTTCGAAGGGCAACTGTAAATAGCTTCCAGAACATTGGAGCAATCCAAGAGCAGAGCAAATGCAGGTCAGGGCAGTGACTACATTGACTTCAGTTATTAAGAGAAAGAAAATTATGAGTCTCGAGGGGAAAAGACATTTGAAAATGTGGTGACACATCAAGGGCACTACAGATTTCAGCCATCCATGGATTTAAAATCTTCTGGAAAAATATTTGGTTTCATTTTTTTCCCTCCGTCATTTTAAAAGAGAATTACCAATACAATACATTTCTGATTAATTGTAGCTCTAGGGTTAAAGATTTTTAACAAGATTTTAAAATTAGTAACTTTAAAACAGAAAGATATACTTTCAAAGTAATACTCTACACTGTTGTGTAAACTACTTTTTCAGACTCAGAAGTTATTCAATGATATTCATCTTTATCTTCTGAAAAGAAGAAACATTTTTAAAGATATTATTTAATGACAGTAAAAGAAAGAGTGAATATACCAGGCAAAAGCTTTTACTGGACTCAATATTCCTATGCTGTATGTTAAAGAATATAATCTAAGTAGTGCTGGAGTGGAATTTGACATCTCTGTCTTCAGCTGCATCTGGTGATAATCACATTAAACTTTTCAAAGAACAAGTATCTTTTGCCTGCAAAGCAGATTGGTTTATGTGTGGATAACAGTTTCTGTCTTCATAGTTATTTTTGTAGGTCATAGAGTTAATGAATGAGACATCATTTCTCTTGTTATTGAACTGAACATGAAATTGACTCGCAGCTATTGGCTACTTAACGGGAAAAAAATAACATAAAATGCTCATATCCTTCAGGGTAAATGTCTGCTAGGGGAAGATAATGAAG